GAACATGATGTAATCTATGCAGAAATAGAAGTACAATGATGTACACCTGAAATTTTTACAATGTTATAAACCGATGTTACTGCAATAAACAAAAAATTTAAAAAAAAAAATAATAAATAAATAAATTAATTAATTAAAAAAATAAAAAAATAAAAAAAAAGAGAAGTCTGTTGTATTTACCCATGTTTTTGCTCTTACTATGTTCTTTTTTCTGTTCTGATAGTCTAAGTTTTTTTTTTTTTAAATCATCTACTTATGTCTGAGGTGGAGACCTGGAGCCTATACTTTAACAAGTGCTCCTAGATGATTCTTAGGATCATGCAAGTTTGAATCCCTAGGGACAATTACTGAGAGTCCATTAGGGACAAAGAAAAGACTGTTCTTTACATTTCAGACTTGTTTTGTGTAGTGGTTATATAGATGGATTTTCAGTTAAGGTAGCTGGAATATAACAGTTAAGTAGGCAGGAACTTAACTAGTAATTTTAAGAAGAAATTGACTTTCTGTTCTTTTCAGTCTGAAAGGCAAACAGTGCAGATTCTGTGACTTTCATTGTACAATAGCTGTAACTAGTCTGAGACTAGAGAAAGAACGCGTGGTATAAGCTTATTTGTAGAGGACTCACTGTAACCTGAGCACTGAAGCCCGTAACAAAGAGCCCAGTGCTGTCACACGGTTGTACGTTATTACACACAACCTTTCTTGGGGGTGCTTTTCTAGGGACATCAATTATTCCTTGTGAGGTTGAAAAGCAGTTTCCTTAGATTTTGTATTTGTTGCCCGTTTGGTGGTAACTATAGAGCATTTATTATATTGTATAAAACTACCATTTATGAATGCTTAACTTTGACTCTACTCAGTGCTTTATATGTATCATTGATCAACAGTCCTGTGAAGTAAATATCCTCAGGAAATTGAAGCTTAAGGAGGTTAAGCAGTTGCTTCACTAACAGCACAGAACTAGGAAATGGCAACTTGAAATCAGGCTGCAGCTAACACCCTTAGTCTTAGTCTCTATGGAAGGTAGGACTAGGTAATCTAGGCGTTTATTGATACCTGGATTGTGCTATTGATAAGGATTCAAAAATGAATGATGTTATTTTCCCTCCTTTCAAAGAATTTACATTATCTAAACAGGGTGGGGAGGGGGCCTCCATCATGGAAACAAATTCTTTCAATACAGTATAATTATTTCTTGATAAAACAATTGTAGCTTATTTTGTACAATTTTTATGTCATGAAAAAATAATTTTATTTTAAACCTCAGATTTGAGAGAGAAGATCTGATCACCTGCAATTAAAGTTGGTACAGAAACCTTTTCAACTCCAAAAATGTTGGAGGAAGATATGGAAGTGGCCATCAAGATGGTGGTTGTAGGGAATGGAGCAGTTGGAAAATCAAGTATGATTCAGCGATATTGCAAAGGCATTTTTACAAAAGACTACAAGAAAACCATTGGAGTTGATTTTTTGGAGCGACAAATCCAGTATGTACTTGGCCATTTTATCCCCTTTGTTTTGATTTGTGAACTGTATCCAAGACTTTCCTCAGAATGCTAGTAACTAACGACAGTGTAGGCCAGGGTTAGGCATCTAGTGGTAGTGGCCCAGGGGACGGTGGTGATCTTCACTTGCTCAGTCCTGTATGTAGCTTTGTCCTGCTCTTTTGCCCCTGTTCCTCTCTCATGTTTTTTCTTTTTTTCCTATTCCCCTCCCCCTCCCCCCTTTTCTTGCTTCTATCCGTTTTATGTTTATCGGTGGCACCTTGGGCACTTCTAAAACACAAACTGATGCTTGACTGTAATGGGATTTCCATCCACTATTTATTTGGAAGGAAAGTTACCTGTCTCTCAGAATAGTTTTCATTTCATATATTACGGGATCCTTTTGTTTAGAATGTCTCTTCTCCTTTTGAAACTGGTCAAGACTGTGTAGAAGTTAAAGAATTAATAATTTTTTTTTTACTTTAAGGAAATAAGAGAAAGCAGATTTGGGAGGATTAAATACTCCTATGAAAAGGAAATCTTATTTCAGGAAATCCAATTGGATACTGAAACACATCAGAGCAACACTTTTGTCGTTAGTCCTGAGAACTTTTAAGGATATTTTAAGGACAGGAGACAAACTAAAATATATTACAGAAACAAGTAACGTTAAACCAATCTGACCTAACTAGCCCAGACATTAGCATCAAAGACAGTTGTGTTCATTCTTTTAAAGATTGTTGAAGTTCTAATCTGTATTCTGTTACCTTCTTTTTTTTTTTTTAACACTTCTGTATTTGCTTCCTTTCTTAGATATTTTAAGAGGATTCATTTTAAGTCTTGATGTTTATTTTTTGTACTTGTTATCTGAACCAAATTAATATTTTAAGTATACAGTTGATCCTTATTATTCATAGATTTGTATTTGCAAATTAACCTATTTGCTAAAATTTATTTGTAACCCCAGAATCAGTACTCGCAGTGCTTTGGTTATCATTTGTGGACATGCACAGAGCAGCAGAAAATTTGAGGCACCCCGCACGTACGTTCCCAGCTTAGGTCGAACAAGGCGACCCTTTTCCCTCTTGTTTCCTCTCTCATACCACAAACAAGTGTTCTTTTTGTGTTCTATTTTTGTGCTTTTTGTTAGTGACTTTGCTGTTTAAGATGGCTCCCACACACAGTACTGAAGTGCCGTCTAGTGTTCCCAAGTGTAAGAAGGCTGGGACGTGCCTTACGGAGAAAATTTATGTGTTAGATAAGGCAGTTCAGTGTTGATGAATTAACAATAAATATTAAACCAGGTGTCTTTGTAGAAAAGCACACCTAAAACAAGGTTGTGTATTTATTGGTGGATGAAAACATAACCAGGGGCTTGCAGGAACCTAGCCCTGTGTTTCCCCAGGAGCATGGTTCAGTACTCGCTAATTCCGTGTCTGCAGTGACTTTATAGAACATAACTCCTGTGAATAAGACAATGGATTGCATGACAAAATAGAATAAATTTTTGAGTTAAAGGGCAAGAACACAGGTAAGCTGCTTCTTTCTTACTCTTATTCCATCACTTGTGCACCAGCACCCCTTAGAATGTGCAGTGAGGGGAGAGGGGCACTGACCTAAGGGAACCCCCTTTCCCAGTCCTGCTGGTCTCAGAGCCACCACTGTCTGTGACTGTTGTCGGAGGAAAAACATGATAGGTGAATCCAAACCATGTGTCAAGTTACAGCTTTGGGGGAGTGTCTTTCCACCTTTCCTTCACTGTGGGTAACGGTATCAACATTCAAGGGTACTCAGACTTTTTCAGAGTGAAGCTGACAATGTAGTTTTAGTACCTCCAGGTTTGAAAAATAAAAATATACACAAAGCTATATTGCTAAAGACATTTCCCTTACATATGAAATACATCCATCTCTTGTTTCAGAGTTAATGATGAAGATGTCAGATTAATGTTATGGGATACGGCAGGTCAAGAGGAATTTGATGCAATAACAAAGGCCTACTATCGAGGTAAACTGTAGGATTTACTTTTTTGTTTGGGCGTATTCTTTTGGCTAAACAAAGAACTTTGCTTTTTTTGTTTCCATAGAAAAGTTTCTCTTTAAGAATAGTTAAAATAATTTCAGAGTATTTTTTTAACCCCAGGTCATTCTTCTTCTAAAGATCTCGTTGAGTGGTAAATAATACTTCGTACTGTAGACAGTTGGTCTCTGCCTTAGAATTACATGTCTCATATAGTCGTTCCCAGACTGAATCAGTCAGAAACTGTTAAATGCCTGCTTTTGACTCCAAGGAAGTGACTGCATAGTCAGAGAACAAAAACTAACATGAAAAAATAAACCCCTGCAAATAAGAGGACATTTTGTTACAACACATGAAATGGCGTTGGTAAAGCCTTCCCAGCACCGTCGGAGTTCAGAGACGGTGTGAGACACGTGTGAAAAGAAGGAACCACAACTACAGGATTTGAGGCTCTAACATAGGGGATCAAATTACTCAAGAAAAGCTTAGATTTCCAAACGCAACTTAAAGTTTCCGTTAACATTTTCCTATAAAATTTTGTTCTTTTCTTTGGAATTTTGAACAGCATTTGCAGTGTTTCTCGGCCTCACTGCCAGTGGTGATTGTAATGAGAGAGCAGAATAACTGAAAGCTTGATCTGGTCATGTCAATCAGGTGTCATTATAGCCTGGGGACGCCAAGTAAATATTAACTGATAATTCATGTCAACAAGTGTTTAGTCCTCTGCATTTCCCAGAGGCTGTGGGAGACAGAAAGGCACATTTGACATACAAATTGGTCCCTCTGTGACATCTCCCCTTCTCCGAACTTTTCACTTTCTTGCTGTAACTAAAACTTGATTGTTTCCTAAAGACACTGCTTCCCCTGCAACTCTCTCAAGTGGTGATCTTGTTACCCACATCCCCCTATCCTCATATTCTTTAAGACCTGAAGAATATCGGGCAGGGGCATGTCTTCTGTGTTTCCTATTGCTGCTTCCAAACCGTTGCTCTTCCTTCTTCTTCAAAAACCTCAGCACCTGGAAAGCCCAAGTCCTGAGTCTTTTCCCTCCCACTAACCCCCTCATGGTTGCCAAGGTCCATCAATTTCCTTCACGCCTCCTTCCTTGACAACATTGGCATCTGTCTAGTTTTCCTTTCCACAGTTGTTCAGATTATACTTTCTGTAAATTGAGCCTGTTGTTCATTTGCTTGTCCTTCTCAAGGCCAGTAATTTTTTCGTCACCTCTCGATCTCAACCTCTGTAGTGTCCTACTCTCTGACCACCACTTCCTGTGATTCCAGCTTGCTGACAGTAATACCCACACTTTGTTCTTGAACCCATCCAAGTCTGCTGCTCACTGACCTACCCTTTTTTACTGTGACCTTCTGCATGGCTTTCTCTCCTTCCTCAGCTTGGTTTTTCCAGTCCTGTAAACATTTCCTTGTAAACACCCTTAACTCCCTGCCCTTTGCTCTCTGCATAATACTTGCACAGCAAAATACCCAACCCAATTAAACCCAAGTATCCGCCTGTTCTGTATGTGCGTCCAAGCCCCTGGACCTTATTAGAGAATATGAGACAGAACCATTCTGACTGAACTTTGACGTGAAGATCACTGAACTTGAGTGAGTACTAAGTGCTGCCAGACAGTCTGCATATGCTGCTGTACTGAAGTCTCCTTGCATTTTCCAAAATGGCAAAGAGATCTCTTGCCTTCACCTTCAGGACCCTTTCCTCCTCCCACTCTCAGCTGATGTCCTTGCTTCATTCTTCTTTCAGAAAATAGATGCAATCAGATGGAAATGCTTCCTTCTCGTTACCAGATCACTTCCTTGGTTAAGACTCTCGAGTCACTTGCTCTTGCTGGAGCAAGAAGTCCAGGCATTTTAGCCTGGCGTCCTTGTCTGGCCTCGTCTCCTGTTGTACTGACTCTTGAGAAATCCCCGCCTTATTTCTTTCCCTTATACACTGTGCCTGGAATGCTTTCTTGTCCTGTTTGGTCTTTCTACTAAGCTTTTACCTTAAAGTCTAACTTATAAATCTGTGAAACCTCTGACCCCTACATCTAAAAACGTTAGTCACTTTCTTTTGACCTACTTCTGTACATTTATGCATTTATCACACTATGTAATGTTTGCATATTTATCTTTCCTAATACATTGTGAGTTCCTTGAGATTACTTATCCTTATGAAAAGTTGTGAGTTTTTTGGTCTTTGTCTCCCCAGCCATTCGCACAGTACCTGTTGGCTAAAGTGAATTCAATTGCCCTTTAGGAGGCAGTATCATTTTGGTTAATTTTTTTAAAAAAGTGAAGTTCTGGATACATTCCACAGCCTCATTTTACTTATCAGATTTTGCAAGTTCATAGTCTAAGTTACAGATGAAAATATTAACATACCTTTATAAACATTATTTTATTTAAAGGTATTTGTTCTCTAGACTGAGAGCCTCAAGAGAGCAGGATTGTATCTGTCTTATTTGTGGATGCCCCATGCCTGCTTCTCAAGACTTGAAGGCTCATGCAACAAATGTATATTGACTCTTGAATGGCTGTTATGTTTTAGGCACATAACAGGCATTGTGAATCTTGCCCCAGTTTCTTTATCTTGGCCTGTGCTTATATTCATGTATTAACATTTTTTGGAAGTATATCTGAGACGTTTACTTAAAGGTAATGCTTTTTCACATCTTAAATCTCTTTTTCTCTTTTTTAATCCACTCATTAGTACCATAGAGCTTAAAACACCTTCTATCTTAGTAAGTAGAGGGATAGCATTCAATACTAAACAGTCCTGAAGACCAGAGATATGGGGGCAGTAATGAATTATTTGTTCAAAGTCTCATTCAACCTCCTCCCTTAGAAGACACTGCTTTAATGAAACTGAAATAATAGTTGTATATAATGGAAATTATTCTACTTCTTCATGGAGGTCTTAACTTCTTTGATATGTCACCTTATACAACTTGAGAGGGAATATATGTATGTCCTGGATCATCTGAGAAGCAGTATTTGAAAATACTGAATAGGTGTATTGAAATAGCAGTGTACCAGTATACTTCTCTTGAAGAAACCTATATATATAAAAGTTTTACTTGACAATGCTAATGAATTTTTGTTACAGTTTCATATAAACACATAAACTTTTCTACTTTATACAGAATTTTCCACTGATTTTAAGTAGCTTGCTACCTAGTTTATTTGCAAATTTATACCTATATTATATAAAATATATATACTTGAGGAATAGGATGAATTCAAACATCTTGTTTTTTCCACTTTTGAAAATGTGGGATTTATTGTAATAATGGCAACTGAGATCTAATGAAAACATAATTTCACTAACATATAAGCAACCAAACAAGTTACCTTTCTAAATCCCTACCAAGGAAGCTTGACTTCCACTGCCTGCTCTAAGAAAACATTTCAGTTCCTTGAGAAACTAAGAGAGGTACACCCCTCAGGTGTCATCCTAATAGCACTACCACCAGTTACCGCTCACTCCATTTGCTGTGTCCTGAAAGGCTTCGCGTCCACAACGCTTTGATTGTCACTTTCCTGTGGATGCCAGTTTGGATCTTGAGCACCTGTATCATGGTGTGAGATGGGAGTTAGGTTCTAACTACCCAAAGCTCTTCTTAGAATAGATGGTATTTTTATCAAATTATGAATTTCTTCAGCATTGATGCTGTTGGTTAACAGGTCCTAAATGTACCTTTTGTTTTTGAGGAAAGGTTATTTGTATTTTTTGAGTGGGGTTATTACCACCACAGCCCCCTCACACACAGGAAAAAATAAAGCAAACAAAAAACTTAGATGGAAACACCAAAAAGTAGTGGAATTACATGAGATTTTCATTATTTTCTTGTTACCTATCTAGCTTTTTTGCTTTCTAAATTCTCTGCCTGAAATATATGTTCTTTTTGTGAGGAAAAAAATGGTTGTGTTATTTCTTTTTAAGCTTTTGACAATTTAATATGACAGTATTACTATTTAACCAGTATGGTTATTTTTGGAGAATGTATTTACCATTGTGTATCTATAATTTAAAAAGGCAAAATTGTGTGAGTATAAAATGATCTCAAAGTTTAATTTTAAAAATTGCAGAACTGGTCAAATGGGGAAAATGATTTGATTTGTATATAAATAAAAAGAAGATGTTGGAACCATATAGTTAAGTAGATCATTTGTGTCCTTGATTTGAAAGAAAAAAAGACCAGGTAGCTAAGAATATTTTAATTTTCCTCTGTCGTTGAGGTATTAATGCTTTCTCTAGTTTTTGCCGTAAGCCTATGTCCAACGTTATTACCTTTCAGTTTTTTTTTATTTGGCTCATCAGTTTGTTGTGTACTTTGTATTATAGTTGAGTACTTTTGAGGTGTCCACAGATCATACTGTTTCTCTTTAATATGTCTACAAAGACCATTCTTTGGCAGAAGCCAAAAAGAGAGCCCATAATTATCAGTATTTACATCTTAATTTACTATGGGTGATGTTTAAATTACTTTCCACTGTGTTTCATTTGGACTGAAAGGCTTTAAATAGCTTTTGTCCCTGTATTTAACATTTTAACTTAAAGTGATCTTAAGCACATAGATGTCTTTTGAAAGCTTATCTTAAAATGCAACTCTTTTTAGCCAACTGTGTTAAAATAGCACAGAGGGTGGGATGCTGAGACAGGCCTTCAGTTTCAGCTTCTTGTTTTTCCAAGCTGTAGGAATAAACATATATCACAACACAATTTGAATTAAGAAACCAACAGTGACAGTTACAGATAAATTTGCGAAATGGCATAGTGAACATTCTTTTAGGCCTTCCTTTGGGGTTCCATCAGAATGCTTTTGGTTGCTGACAACAGAAAAGCAATTTCAAACTGGCTTAAACCACAAAGGTTTATTGACTTGTTTCATATAAAAGTTTGGAAGTAGTATAGCTTTCATTTGTGGTGTGTTCCAACTGTAACCTCATTGATTCCCCTGGCCTGCCTGCCTCCCTCCCTGTGTGGGG